ATCGCGTGTGCTCGCTTACAGGCTGCCTTTCTCTCATTGAAACCCCTCCCCCAATAGGGAGCCTGTTAATAGAGCAGGCGTGGAAGGGGCCAGCCGTGGTTCAGCAAGGTGGTTGAGATCAAACTATAGCTGAAGGCTTTTAAAGGGGATACATCCAACAAAATGTCCGTGCTGTCGGCCATCTTTTTTTTTAATCCGGTTCGGAGTCTTCGGCCATCTTGATTTGGCTGGGCCGGGATGGTGTAACTCCCACACATGCGTCTGGGACTTGCCTGGTCCTGGCACGGAATGCTGTCCGAGACGATGAGCTGTATAGGAGTTGTGCCATCCCGGGCCAAGATGGCCGACACGCATAGTCTCTTCTACCTACATGTCAACTTAAAATGGGGTGTACTTCCCCTTTAAATGCCAAAGTAAAGGGGGCTGATCAGTGTCGGACATTTGTGAGCACACGGGCTCCAAGATTTACATGAGTGTCATCTCCGGCCCGGCATCTCAGTGCAGGAAGTAGATGGTGACTATGCCTGAACAAAGATGGCGCTGTGCTTCTGGAGAGGAAAGCAGATGGAAGCATTGTGGGGGTGTCATATAATCTCAGAGAGGAAATACCTTAAAGGCTAAAACAGAGCCATCACTCGTTTTAACATGAACAATACATCCGATGATCGCTCCACTTTAAGTACATTTACAGAAAAACTGACCTCTATGGGCTCCTTCAGTGGGTTCCTGATGCCGGAACAAAGATGGTGCCGTCCTCCCTGGAGGGGAAAAGGAGCTGGAAACGTTGTCAGGGGGGAGTCATGTGATCTGTGTGAGGAAATAACCACCTGGAAGTGTTAGAATGACACACGTACTCGCATAGCATGAAAAATACATCTGATGATGGCTCCACTTTAAGTACATTCATCCAGTCAGACGGTCTCTCTAAAAATGGCCGCCTTTAGAGAGTACACTTAACACCCGCCAGGCAACTTGTGAGGATTGTTTTGTGAGGATTTGCCTTCCAAATCAAACCTCCTATTAATGATGGGCTCCTTAAGGTTCATGATGCCTGAACAAAGATGGTGCCGTCCTTCTGGAGAGGAAAGCAGATGGAGGTAATGTCAGGGGGGAGTCGTGTGATCTCCGAGGGAGGAAATGAATACCCCGGACGTGTTACACTGACGCCTTTACTCACTGAGCATGAAAATGTATAAGTGATGATGGGCCCACTTTAAACAAATGTAAAGCTTCCCAGTAAACTTAGTGGGCCCATCATCAGAACCACAAATTACTCGCTTACCTTAAAAAAATAAATATGATGATGTGCCCACTTTAAGTAAATTTACTGGGAAACTGAATTTGCCTTCTAAATCAAACCTCCTTTTTAATGGAATCAATTCTCCAGAAGTACGGCGCCATCTTTGTTAAGGCATCGTGAACCTGCTGAAGGATCCCATTTAAAAGGAGGTTTGATTTTAGAAGGCAAATTTAAGTTTTCCAGTAAATTTTACTTAAAGTGGGCCCATCATCAGATAAAGCTTCCCAGTAAACTTAAAGGGGGCCCATCATCAGATCTATTTTTCATGCTAAGCGAGTAACATGTCTTCCCATCTGATGATGGGCCCACTTTAAGAAACATTTACCGGGAAACTTCATTGCCTTCCAATTCAAACTTCCTTTTTAATAATGGGCTCCTCCAGCAGGTTTATGATGCCTGACCAAAGATGGCGCCGTACTAATGGAGAGAAAAGCAGATGGAGACATTGTCAGGGGGGGAGAGTCATGTGATCTCTGTGAAAGGAAATGAATACCCGGGAGTGTTACACTGACACCTTTTACTCCCCGAGCATGAAAAATTATGTGATGATGGGCCCACTTTAAGCAAATTTAAGCTTTCAAGTAAACCTTAAAGTGGGCCCATCGGAATAGGACGACAAGTTACTCAGCATGAAAAATATACCTGATGATGGGCCCACTTTAAGTACATTTACTGGGCTGCTTTATCTGATGATGGGCCCACTTTAAGCAAATTTAGTGGGAAGCTTTATCTGATGATGGGCCCACTTTAAGAAAACAAATACTGGGAAAATGAATTGCCTTCTAATTC